CTAACGCCAAGGGCGAATTTGTAGGTAATTAAAAACAAACATTCTTCCTACTCAATATAATCCTGTACTCATTCCTTTAATTCGCGAATTAAATGTGGGACTTTAACATTGTATTATTCCCAAAGTATTTTGTAGTTTTTCCTATGACTGACAATTTTTTACAAAATTACGTGAAATATTGATCACACTCAAAAGATATTGTACACATAATTAACATAAAATTTCTTAATCAATTACATTTATTTTCAATAGAAATTTCTGCTATTTCTAATGTATACTTAAGGTCAAACAAACCTTTTAGGCAGTGTTATATTTTAATATTGTTATTAATTCTATTATTTTTTTAAACGTGTTTAAAAAACTAAACATTTCAGAATTTACATTGGTGTTATGGAATATTTTAAACGTTTTAAACTGATTACTTATGTATTATACATGTGATTTTATAAAATATTTTTTAACACTTCTACCTTATAGAGCTAATAAAATGAAAAATAGTATAAAGCTTTAAAATATTATTAAATTACTATATATATTATAATAATTTACTTAAAATGATTAATAATATTATAAAAGTAGAACAAAGAAAAGTTTATGCTACATGACAATTGCCCTGTTCTAGTTAAATTTGCGATGTTCGGCCAAAGGAGAATAAATGTAAAATTGTAACTTTTAGAAAAATGAAATTGAAATTTACAAAGAGTATAATTTTTGCTTTAAAACATTATTTTGTATGTTTTTCATGTGAAAATGTACACTGTAATTTTCAATTTGATTTTTCCAAAAGTTGTAATTTTACACTTATTTCCTTTTGCTTGAACACCATAAGCTGATTTTAGGGTTACCCCAAAATAATAAATATGAGGGGATAAAATATTTTTTTGTTGCCTGAATCATTTATTCAATGGGACGACCAATTGTAATTAAGACGAATATCCAGATATTAAAGCACAAAATAGAAAAACAATATTTAATTTAATTTTAAACTGTAATAAATTATAGGATTAAATTGATTTAAACTTGCTTTTNTTTTAAACTGTAATAAATTATAGGATTAAATTGATTTAAACTTGCTTTTATTTAGAGAATTCACTGAATTAAATATATTATCTCGATAAGTTAATTGTGATATTATATTATTTGGTGTAGTATGAAAGATTAAGAAACTATTAATTGGTCTATGCGCTGTAATGATCAATTTAAATAAATTAAAATTTATTTTATTTAAAATAAAAGAAATATTCTTATTAAATACAGTATTAACACATTTTGATTCAGTACTTCTCTTAAAATTAACTGTTGATGCTTCAAATCAAAGTGTTGCACAGTGGTCTGAAAGAGAATTTTAGGCGCTCATAAGTCCCATTTAAATATGTACTTATAATATTAAAATAATTATAAAAACTCAATTCTAGTATATTGCTTAGACAAAATATAAAATTCCAAGATCACATGTTTGTCCAGTCGTTATTTATAGCTGCTTGAAGTATAGTTATGGTTATATTATGGTTATTTTAACATAAAAACCCAATGAGTATTTTCCTAAAATTGTTATTGGCCGGTTAAAATATTTTGTAAAAATGGCTGTTTCAAAATTTTGAAAAAATAAAAACTTATTTAAATATTTTTTCTATTACTGACAAATAATAAAACATATAATTTTAAAATATAATATTTAGCAAATTTTTGCCGAATCAAAAGTTATTAAAAATGTCAAAAAATCCTGGTGAAATACTCTGTAAAACATAACATTTGAGATAAATTACCTGTGTATAAGATTTTATTTCTATTTTTTCTTAAACTTTCTATTAAACCATACACTTAGACAAAATGGTTTAAAGCCCCTTCAAAATTTTCTTCAAATTACACATGTCCTTGGGCGTATACATTTAAAGTTTTGTGCGATTATTTTAATGTAATCTCATATGTATATCATCGGCATTAAAACTACAAAATACAACACCCCATTTTTAGTGAACATATAATAATTACATGTTTTCTGTGTAACATGTAGTTATTAAATACATAAATGATAATAATATACTGAATGTTAATTATCAAGTTTTACTGAATTTTTCTAAATAATGCTGTTTAGTTCTTTAAAAAAAAAGTATAAAATTATATTTAAAAATAATATATATAAAAATAAAAACATTGTTAATATCTATACATTTTTATTGTGATAATATTTCATAAATATTTCAACATGATATTTTACTAAACAGCTATAATTTCTTTAGTAATCAAATATTAATTGGTGTTATTAATTTTGTAAAATTAATTATTGTAATAATCCATTTAAAATTATACTAATTACAAACTTCATAGATCCGGAGAAGTTAGTGTTGAAATAAAATAAAATTCGTCAAATTATTAACAGTGAACATAATATTACTGATTAAATATGTATTTACTATTTTTCCTAGGTAGGTTCAAGTTAGATTCCATTCATTTTTAACTAAGTACCGGTCAGGGCCGGATTTATTAGAGACCCTGGTCCTCTACAAATGTGAGATACCCACGCATATCACCATGTCAATTTTTTGCTTAATTAATTATTCAAAATTTATAACTAAAATTAATAAGATTGAATAAACTGTAAAATTTATTTTATGACTGTACAGGAGTTATGACGAGTATTTCAGTTAGTCCTTGTATGTTGTGAACATGTAATAATTTTGAATATTTCTTATTAAAATTATTTATTTAGGAAGAATTTTATATAGTTTTACACTGTGTTGACGATTCAGAGATAAAAATAACTTGTATAAGTAAGAACATAAAGCAGTTTTATTTAAAATTAAAAAATGTTATAAATAATTAACTCAAAAAGCCAGTTTTAAATAGATTATTAAGTTTTAATACAAAATTTATATATATTTATATTATCGACGTATATAATATATATATATATGATTTTATTAATACATTGTAAGATACATATTTTTATACAAATAATTTACATATTTTATGTTTACATTTTACCACCCCATAAGCATATTTTTTCAAAACATTTTTTTCATATACAAATAAACGTGAAAATCATGTAAGAATAAGGTTAGTGCAATTTAAATATTTATTCTTATATTTAAATCTAATAAACATATCGAATACGTTTTTCGCTAAAAATTACAATGGCGACGGGGTCGGCACTAGCGCTTAGATGCTTATATTTTAGTGATTCTTTGGTGAAGTACACAAATGTGTTTAATTTATTTTTAAATAATACTGGAGATTAATATAAAATTTTGTATTTTTAAAAATTTGTAAAATTTATTTTACATTATTTTTATGTTTAACTTTTATGCTTTAATAGTAATTTATTAAATAAATTATATTTTTTTATACGAAATTTAAATAAGTGTGTAATCATAAGTCGTAACATCGAGTCAGGTTGGCCGAGCGGTCTAAGGCGCCAGATTTAAGCTCTGGTTCCCAAACGGGAGCGTGGGTTCGAACCCCACACCTGACAGTGACTTTTTGATTTTTTAAATATTTTTTATCTGTGTTTCATCATTACTTGGTTATGCCGATAAAAAATTTGCTAATTGAATAAATAATAAGGTGTTCAGTGAGTAAGGAAGCGGATTTCAATTGTTCTCGTGGGTTATAACAGTTGACCTGTTTCCTTACTTAATATGTATAATAAATTATTAATTTTTTTTTGTTGACTTTAAATACAAAAAATTTTAATCAAACACATAATTTTATACATGCATTATAGTATACAAGTAATTAGTGTTAATAAATATTGGTTAATAGTGTTAATCAATTTCATGACAATTATTGTAGTAAATATAAATAAATAAAGCTGTATATTTTTTATAAAGAATTTAATGTTAGGGCTAATTGAACATTGTCTGTTTAATAAAAAAATATTTTTTATATTCGTCAGTTGTAAAATTAATATTATTAATTTAATATATTATTCTAAGTAAAATATATATTAAAATAAATATCCTAAGAGAAAAAGTGATTTTTATGAATTGTTTTGAAAAAAAGTAATCTGGAATTTCGATATCTTAATGTACATTAAGATATTTTAATAGCTACCCATGTAACTGTCAACAATTTTTAAATTATATCTTTTTTTCGTATGCGGAATATACTCTTTTTGTTATATACCCCAACACTTATAATATTAAGTAAGCTTTTTATAAAGATTTTTAAAATATTTTGATAATTCATGTAGCTTCAAAAATTTGTCTGTGCGTTCCACATTCCAATTTAGAGATTTTAATAAAAACTTTAACAAGAAACTTCTCCAACACATTGCTTACCTCTTCCAGTCAAAATAAAGTTCAACTCATTTGAGGGAGTTACATATCTCTTTAGAGACTGAAACCCTTACGCTAACTAGGTTAATAAATGTATTATGTGATCAGAAGGTAATTATTTATAGGATATAATTTATTAAGGGAAAAAGTGTTTTTTTAAGTATCTATTAAAGAAAGTTATATTTTCAAGTGGGAAGGAAAATATTTTGTTTAACAGATTCTTTTTTGTATTTATGAATTAGATAATTATTGAGTGCTCATATAATCAATTCGATAAACTTAAATTCTGTTTTCTTAACTAAAAATTATAAATTAAAATTTTTGACACATTGTTAGATTCATATAAAGTTAGAGTCATTTTCATAGGTGTGTAACTCAACAACAAGCATGTGTATTTTTTAATTATTTTACGTAATACTGTGTTTTATATTCAGTTTTTATAAACTATATCTAAAAAAAATAAAGAAATATCTATTTTAAACAATTAAAGACTTTTGAATTAACTTTTTAAAATATGATTCCTGATGAAATATTTTTTTGTTGCAAATTATTTGGGAATTACATTTTTTTTTAAATAATTTGAATCATAAAATATTTATTTATTTAATACTATGATAATGAACAATTGAAACAATTAAAAAAAGAACTATGACAACAGTTTGATGAAGGCGCTTTAAGCGGCATGAGCTGTAAATGCTAACGTGATTGGTGCGTTCACTGAGATGCGCGATACTGTTATGCCGACACAAAAGTACCGGCTTTTGGGCTGCTTGTGATTTAATAATTATTTAACTCTTTGCGAGGTAACATACACCTTGAACTGGACATAGTGACCCAGGTAATTATTAAAAGTTATTTTTAATTTCATTTTAAAATCATTTTTAAGCACAATGAAAATTTAATAATTATACAATATATAAAAATAAATAATTAAAATAATTTTACATCTTAATATTATGTCCATAATACTATTACAAAAGTTCAAGAATTACTATGAGTATTAAATTAAAAAAATTATAATGTGATTAATTTTATGTAAACATTTTTTTTTCTTAAAATTTTCTATGATAAAACAAAATGTATTCAAATCTATCTACTAAAGTTGATATCACATTACAGAGTATGATAATAAAACGGTAGATAAAATATAAACCAATAGTACAATTTTCATATATATATATATATAAACGACTTTTTTTTGCTAAAAACATAAAAGTAACTTATTGATATTTCAAATCAACCCTACTTGATTATTGTTTGTAAATATCACTTACGACAATTAGGCTGCAAACAGTCGTTATGTATTCCGAAGTAAACAAATTTGAATTTTAGTTAAATATTATCAGTCTTGTTAAAGTATTAAAATATTTTTATTTAAATACTAATATCTGAATATTTATTAATTATTCTGAATAATTTTTAAATATTTTTAGAAAAATATATTAAGAATACTTTTTAGTAGTATTTGAATTTGAAATACTAAATACTTTTCATTTTTAATTGAATTATCTTGTTGTTTCATAATAAAGAATTAAATTTTTATTATAGTAATAGGAAATCAACACAGTTTAGTACTTAAAAATTTTGGAAAGACTATTGCTATCCTTATATTTGCAACTGCTTTAAAATAGAACTTATTAATGTATATATTGTAGTGACCAGTTTTTTAAGATAATAGATTATTTTGTAGGAAAATTTCTATTGAGGTGTAGAGTCTGTGGTTTCAAAACAACAAAGACAAGTAGATATAAAAATAATTTATCAATTGTTCTCATTGTTGAGGTATAAAATAGTATTGATATATATTTAAACATTATTATACATTTTGGAGGCCACAAGAACAAATGTTCTTTTAAAAAAATTATAATTTAACAATTATTTTACTATCCAGATGAACCTTCCCCCTTAATTAGGTGATTTTCACAAACTAATTATCTAAAAACTTAATAAAAAACGCTATTAAAAGATTTAATAAATTTAAATAATTTGAATACTATTTCTATTTGTATTTAAATACTTATTCTTAATATCATCTCTGGAATATACGAATACATATTAAAAATACATACAAAAAGTATTTTTACATGACTGAATATTAAACTGAAAAGTACCTAATTTAACCTTATTCTGATTGATGAATTTGTAGAATTAGACATTTTTACAATATAACCTGAACCCTTAGGATTATTTGTATTAAAACATGGTTTCCGGAAAAATGACGAAACTTTACAGTGAGACTTGATATCATATGTATTTTGTATTGAAGATTATTTAGTTATTAAACAGTATTAAAAAAATAAATAAATTATAAAAATTTAATTTGTACATTATTTAAAATATATCAAAAACAAAATTTTATTTTTAAAACTCCAGTAGTTTTTAAAAATGTACTATTTACATAATAAACAATCATAATTCTATAATAACAGGAAAATTTTAAGTGGTTAATTTATAAATTAAGTAATTTAAAATCATATTCAATGTTACAAAAAATATTCAAAACTGTTTAAAATAAGTTTATGAAAAAAGGATAATTTCCGGTAGTTCTAAATAATTTTCATATATTTTGTAGTGTTGGGCGAAATATTAATATAAATAATTATAAAATAATCATAATTCAAAGAAATTTGTTGAGCATTATCAAATTTTATATAACTAGCGAAATATTGTGTTAATATTTCTTTTGTCCTCTAAAACAAAAATTTTAATTCGGAATTGAAACTCACAGTTATAAATAATATAATAATTTAAAATGAATAAAAATTGACACGTAATTGTTTTATGTTAAATAATTATTAATGCATTCTCAGAACGTTTAAAACAAATGCTATTGTTTGTTAGTATATTGAAGTTAAAAAAAAATTTCGAATTTTATTTTTAAATTAAATAATTAAACATTCTTGTGTTTTTTAAATAACGATAACGATATCAATATTGCCAAAATCCAAAAAATATAGATTTGTAATATTATATAATTGCAAATAACAAAAAAAAAATGTAATTGCTTTTTTAATGAATAATAAATTATTTAATGAAATAAATGTATATACTCATTTTTATAAAATGTATTAAATAATAGAATTATTTCAGTATCAAATAACTCCACAAAAAATATTTTTATTATTCTCTATAACAATTTTATATCAACATAATATATGTTTAGACACCTTCAATTTATAAAATAAATAAATAAAAATATTCCCTCGCATTTGCTTGTTTTTATATAAGTCAAGTATTTAGTAGTTAAACTGTTTAGAATTTCTTCAATTGCATTTTCTAATGGACGTTTTACTAAAATGATATATACTGTTCTATAAAATGGAAGAATAACTAGTTAATAATCATATTTTAACACTTGTTAAGTTATAACTTTAAGACAAAAACAATAAAATAATAAACTTTTGATCAATAATTGTCGTTTTTGCTATCCATTAACAATCAATGAATAAAAAAAAAGTGCGGAAATTATGAAGTCAACTTTTCTTTAATATATAAAAGATTCTACATTGACTCATTTATACATATTTTTTCTTTGAGATTTAAAATTTAATACATCAAGATTCAAAGATGACAAAAGAATGTATTATTTACAACTAATTGTTCATGAAAAATTAATTACCTTTATGTTAGTGTGATAATTTAGTATTTGAGGAAATATTAAGTGTTTTAATGAGTTTGAGATATGTTTGTTTTGGTAATAACGGATGAATAATAGAAACTGAAGAACGCATGAATCATCTTAACACCATTTATTTTTCTTATACTTATTTTCTGTTTTCAACGAGTTTCCCCTTTGTGCAAAGAAGATGAGTATACTATTTTAAGAAAATCGAAAATATCATATTAAAAAAAAACCAATAATAATAATATATATTTTACACCTTTAAGGCAAAAGAGTACAACAAATAACAAAATAAAAATAAATATATAATTATTAGATAATTGAATTAAAAACACAAATATGAATAACTAGTTAAGAATTACAAAGATAAATTTATGATTAAAAAATCTTTTCGGGTAGAAAATTTAGCAGAAGAACTTAAAATAACTTAATCGATACAACAATTGATGATAATATAAAAGATCAAATAAAGAATAAGTAATTTTTTTTCAAAGTAAAATTCAATTTTAATTTGGAGAGTAGATAATCAAAAATTTGAAAAAAATCACAATTTATTATATGTTCTTAGCATTCGAATAATCGGTTCATAGTAATTATAGCATTGGAAATGGTAACGCATTTTAAAAAGAGGATTAATATTGTGTTTATAGAAGGGAACAAGTAGTTGAATTAAATTGAAATATTCGAAGCAGTTTATTTTATTATTAAGCAGTTTGTAATATAACAGACATAATTTATTTCTCTATGATTATCAAGTTTTTTTAAATTTAGTGTTGTTAATAACATAATTTTATCACTACTAGGTATTTTAAATTGAAAAAAAAAACACTTGTCTTTAATATAGTTTTACACACGCTCTAAATTGTCTATTGAAGCTTTCTGATAAGGATTCCAAAGCACTGAAACGTAAAATCTAAAATTGATCGCACTAACGATTTATATATAATAATTGTATGCACAGATATTTTCAGAATCGAAACAATTTTGTCATAATTTGTTATGTTTAAGCCATAATTTTAAGTGCTTTCAATCTTGTAGTTCGAATATGGTAATTACATGTTAAATCAGACAAAAAATACACACCTAAATCCTTAAAACGAGCAAACGATTGAATAATTCATCTATATTTTTATAATGAAAAAAAAATAGGACATAGTTACATATGAGTAATTTCAAATCATCAGTAAATTACTAACAATTTTTAAAAACATTTGAAACATAATTAATGAATAAAATGAGAGATAAGTTACCACCTTTGAGGTAAAACGATCGTAACTTGAATTGAGTATGATGTAAAAGAAGTAATCGTAATTTGTTGGGTTTTGCAAATGAAAAAGATTTTAATCACGTTAAAAAAAGTCCTTTATACTTCACAATTTAAGCTTAATTATTAAAATATTATGATTTACTTAATCAAAAGTCTTTCTCAAATCTGTGTTTTGAAGGCCCAAACAATTTGGCTTTCTTTTTCAACAATATTTGTAATACAAAGATTTTAAACTAATAATTTTGTCAATGTAGACTTACATTGTATGAATCTCATCTCATTTTATCGACTACAAATAGACTTATTAATAGATTACTTTTGTTAATTTGTCACATATATATTCTTCAAATATCTTAGCCAAGTCACTGAGTTTTAAAATTGGTCTATAGTTTTCCACGTTAGTTTTATTACCCGATTTTAAAATAGGAGAAAGGAAAATTAATGTCCAAATATTCGGATAACTACTTGAGTTTAAGAATAATTAAAACAAATAATATATAAATAAACAATCAAATAAGGAATATTATCTGGTCCTGTGTTAGTAGTAATAAATGAAGCATTCCGACTTCGAAAAATCATTTTAGATAAAATAACATTATATAAGCGTTTAAAATTTATTTATAATAAATCAAATTCGAAAAAGATGTTAAAATCTTTAGGTAAATTTTTTTGTTATATGGACACATAACAAATCAATTTTATAGGTGGTAAGTTAATATTTTTTATTAGTATTTGATATATTCAATAATTAAAATATTGTTTTAATAGTTTGAATTACTATTAATTTTTTAATAGTTGTACTTATAATAATTATTTTAAGAAATATTAAAAATTCACACAATATTTTATTAAATACTTTTAAAATGATATTTAATCTTTCAAATATTCATTTAATACTAACAATACCTTTTTATATATCTTACGTTAGAATATAATTTGGTCATAACCAAGAATAAATAATTATTAAAGCTATAGTTTTGTTAAATATTAAGTACTCTTTTTTAAATTATTTTCATAGCGTAATTATTTTTTAAAAATCAATTAATTTGAATTTCTAACACTATTCAAGATTTCCTAGTCTTAAAATTTATTTAATAGACTATTATACTGCTAACAAAATTTTAGTTATTAAGGAATTATAAATTTCTTTTTGTATCTTGTTAAAACAAATGATATTGAAAATACAAAGAAGACTTTCGATAAAGTAATCATTAGTCAACGGGTCAAACAATTAATTAAGTTAATGGGATAACGAAACTTCTCAGTTTCATTCTTTCTCAATAATTAAAAGACAAATTATAAAGCATAAATATTACAAATCAATGGGTAAAATCTTTGCATTCAATAAGATAGTAATTTATTTGGAGTTTTATTATTATTGAAACGAAACTTATAGGTTATTAGTAAAAAAACTAGTAGTAATTTATTCGTAAATCGAAGATTATGATAGTATTGGAAAATTCATTAATAAAATAAACACAGAAATATAGATTTATTAATAAATAGTTTTCTGATAAAAATAGTTTTATAAATTGCTACACTGTAAATAAACTTGTTTTAATTTTGAAAAGAGCTCCAACAGTTAATTCACTTAAATTGAATCTAAAATAAATGCTTATAGAATAAGGAATATAATTCTAAGTAGATTAACCATCGTAACAGATTTAGGTAAGTTATATATATAAATTTAACTTTGAAAAGACTTGTTATGAATTTCATTTACAGATAATAAAAAGTTTTTTATTCTACAGTTTTCTATGACCTATGTTTTTATTGTGTGGTATTATAACATATAATTGAATAAAATTGCAAAAAACAAGTTAATTTTTAACTATGCCTCTCTTTTACTATTATTGTAATGTATAGTCCATAATAATGTTTTGATATTTTATTAAAATTCTGAAAAATTGGTAAGTTATCCCTTGTTATAAAAGCAGTCTAAATTTTCGTCTTTTAAATTTATTTTTAAAAATAGCTCATTGGAATTGCATCTAAGTTTGCCAAAAAAATTTTTATTTTGGAGTTTTGTAAATTTTTAATTATTGTGATAATAACCGAGTTTAAATAATCTCGTGTATAAACATAGATAAATAACTTTATGGTTGTCTTGTTGTTTGTTTTACAATGGTGATGAGTGACTAATTTAAAAAAAAAGATTAATCGTACCCACAAACAGCAGCGGATGGCTTTTAACAACACTAAGTCTTAACATGCATTTACTGTTAAGAGCAAATGTTTTAAAAGTGTTTTTCAACAATTTATTAATCTTGCTAAAAGTAATATATATCATTAGAAAACATAATGTATATGAAAATCTGACATAAAAATAACGGAATAAATCATGAAAAAATAAACTTTGTTTATTGTAAAATTTAATTATACAAAATAATATTTTAAAAAATGAGTATTGTATAAAATTAAAAAATATATTGGAAATTTATGTGAATATTTGTATCCTAAAGCTTGCTTAATATTCAGACTAATTTTTTTTTAGGAATATTAATTATATAATCCTGAACATATTTACAAAGTGACTTCTCAATAAAAATAAAACAAAATTAGCTTACGTCATAACATCACTTGGGTGCCAGCTATTTTACAAATTTTTGAATTCATCCAAGGTCTATGACCAAAATAAAAATGATTTTTTACAAAATTTGTAACAAATCCGATAATATTTACATTTGACTTAAGTGTGAGCACTTCAGATTAAATTCATTGATGATGCATTTAATGTTTTTAGTAAAACCACAGGTTTATAAAGTCGTTTTAATTTCACATATTATTACTTATTCAATAATATGTCTAATACGTCCAGTTGACATAATAGTATGTTTGTTTTTTGAAGCCATATAAATGGTTTTTTTAAATTTTATGGATACATAATATTTTTGTTTTGTTGCATATTTTTATGGCTTCGTAGTGCTTTTATATTTTACATTTCTATACCTAAGTTTGAAAATTCAACCAAAATATAAAAAATTACAAAGATCGATCACAAAATATAATAACAATAAACGTTGAAAAAAATCTTTTAACTGAATTTTTTGAAATAAAAAATATATTATATACTAATATTTTTGAATGTATATTTGTCAGGTTACATTCATAGTAACAGCTGGGAATTTTAAAACAAATTGAGTACTTAAATCGGATATACGAATAAAAAAAAATATTTGGTTCGGACGGCAATAATCAACACTTGAAATTGTATAACAGTGAAAAAAATTAAACAAGGTAAAAGATTTTTAGTATTAAATAATTAACTTTTAATTGCTTGTAAATTACTTAACAGTAAAAAATAGAATCATTTAAAAAACTATAACACATGAATTGTTTATTAAATATAAATTTTTATTAGGCTTTACTTTACTGTTTTTGCATTATTTGTTGCCAAAAGAGACATTAATTTTAATATGTTATTTTAATTATAACAGTCATACACAGATGAAAGTACAAGTAGGCACAGGTATTTTTTTATATATTTTTATATCAAAAGTAAATAATTTGTTTTATTCGACTTAAATATTGAATATATTTTATTAAACTATTTTATAAAATATTACAACATTCTAAATATTTATTCTTGTACTTTGATATTTTTTCGGAATGTTGAATTTGAAATTGATGCCATTTCAAAAGGGCGTGTCTACCGAAATCACATTTAGGGAAAAACAGTTTTGAATTTCAAAAAAATAAAATAGTAACTTATCTTTTTAATTGGGATACATTACAAACATAAAAGATTTGTTTAATAGTCAACCATGTAATATTTATAGTAAAAATAGATATATTAATTGTCTTAAACTACTTTTTTGGTTAATTTTTCAAATTTGTTGACGTCCATTAAATATAATGAAAAATCTCTAAAATGTCATTTTTTAAAGAATTACAATAATTACTAAAATTAATGTATACATTTGTGACATCAAGTGTCACGTGTACTATAAATGATGTACTTAACATCAACACATTTCAACCTTATTCTGATTTTATTCCGACATTGATGACATTTGTTTGTTTAGCCTATTCTTTTGCTCTCTGTTGGTTAATTTTGTTAAACCTTATAATGAGTTTAAAATTTAAAAGTAACTTTGTAAGTACTTTTTCACAAAAATTGAAATATTTTGTTTTGTCAAATATAATTTGGAAACATTTGACTGTTCAAGAATTAAATTGATTTAGTTGATATCTTTGTACTTACTTCGCCTCGATTTGCGGTCTAACTAATTATATTGAAGCTTAAAATTATGTGAACTATAATCTCGCTGTACAAGCTTAGTATTCTATTATTATTATTATTTAAAAAAAAGAAAACGGATATTTTATAGTACGTTTCTGAATTATATGTTATTTAAAGATATAAATAACATCGCACTGTGAGTAACTCTAAATATAACACACTAATATATGGAATAAATTTATTATTTTCAGTTATTAATAAACAATATTATTTAGTAATACGCGTTCAATTTTGCACACAAGACATAATATGCTATTGCTTTGTAAAGGAATTGTGCATTTTTACCATTTCATATACAAACAAGCAATTCAAAATTTATCATTTTTGAGTTACTACAGTAGAGTACGCACAGTGCGATTCGTTAGAAATGTATAAAACACAACAGCGAAATACATTATGCAATGCATTATGATCAATTGTGTAGGATTAATGTTATCTAATCAATTTATATGGGCCGTCAGAAAACTATTTCAATTGATTATAATTTTAACTGTTGAAAATATTTAATGGAAACTTAATTTTTTTTTTAACTACTATGTAAATCTTAATCTTATGTAATTAATTAAAATTGTGTAGAAAATTCTGGTAGTGGTGATGCCGTTATACATGTATATACAATTCATGAAATAATATTACTGTAGCCAATAAAGTTATTCTAAAAATTATATTATTGTTGGTTTAAAGCATTTAAAGCTTAAAACCACATACATCTCAGCTGTCATCGAAAAGAGATTAGAAATTGATTGATATTGAAAATACATATGTTTTATGTTATAAACGACATTTTCTTATAGATTTTACTAAAAACATCGAGAACAGTTTAAGATAAGTCAGTTTGAAATTAATAGTAATAACAATAATTTAGTTTGATTTTACTTTGACTTTCAATTTAAAATCCATTTAACTATAATAAACAATTTAGTATAAGAAAAAAGTTCAGGACTGTAATGCAATTTGTTTAAGGTATTCAAAATCTCATCCTATTTGAGTGGATATACAACTGTTTTTTCATTGATACACCCCACTTGTTTGTCATCGAACTCCTTTTTNCTCATCCTATTTGAGTGGATATACAACTGTTTTTTCATTGATACACCCCACTTGTTTGTCATTGAACTCCTTTTTTTCACTATTCCTGTGTGTATTGAGTGCGCTATAGATTAAACAACGTTCCCTTCTTTTATTTTTAACACTACAGAAAAAAAAAATTCGATGCTCAAGTAAAATTCTTCATGTTTTTCTAGTAGTAGTTAATTGACAAATATGAAGGCTTGAAAACAGTGTTGGACTATTGTATAACAAATTGTTATGCCTTTGTTAATGAGCAGTTGTGAACAAGGTTTTAAAGTTATTTAATTGCTCGAGCCACAGTAAAATGACTTTATTTATAACAAACGGTGCAGTGAAAAAGTTTTATTTGCTCGGAATATTAGCTACCTAATAGAAAAATATTTGAATTTTATATAATGTAAGTGTACCAGCAGCATGTTCTAGACTTTATTGGACAATACATTTTTCAATTTTTTTCATTATTAGACGACAAAATAACTTTTTATATTAATTATGTTTAATTAAAATTTTCATCTTACGTTAAGATCATAACTTTTTCTTTTTACGATATTTTAGTGAATTACCTTATAATTTCCATACTACTTAACAACTCTGATGATCTCTGAAAAAAATATATTCTAATAAGGTTTTAACTACATAATTTTTCGTTATATAAGATACAAGAGAAGTTGTGTTATGCTTTCAGCAAACTTAAAATTCAATATATAACTTAAAGTTAAAAGGGAAACAAAAATATTTAATGTAATTCCTTTTTATGTTATCCGCTTATATATGAAACATAAAATAATTTATTGACACATAATTCTTTTATGTTTGTTTAGAGAGATAAATAATAAATAAATAATGAATTCAATGATTTAAATATTTAAAATACAATTCGACATACTTAAATATTATAAAAGTGTTTGGATTTAATAAAATTTAAATTGTGTGGATATAACTAGTTTATTTTTCTTTTAGAACAAATTATTTATGTCATTGTCAATAAAAAATTGGTTAAACAATTTTGAACACAGCTCAGACTTCTTTTTATCTATTGAAAAAAATACTTAAAAATCGGAAATCAAAATTTTGTTTCAATAAAATAAGGATTTAAATAGTTTCTAAAGTCGTAATTCAATATTATCGAAACTCAAAACTTTAAAATGTTTTACTCTTGTTTAATTATGTTAAATTATAAAAGATTAATATAAGAAAATATTAAGAGTGTTTGATAAAAGTGAGACTTACTTTCATTCGGGGTACCATTATAGGGTCATATAATAATATAAGTATTAACTATTATTAATTTGAAACCTAACCTAGTACTTTTTCTTAGTTCTTAGAATAACTTCAATGACAGTGTTAAGTAATAATTGAAAATAAAATAACACAAGTTCGATTTTTTGTTCAAAACTTAAACACATAAGAATTCCGACAATTATGATCACAAATTTTATTTAACGATGTCGAGTGCGTAATTAAAACAAACTAGACAGTAAAGGTTCGCCTGCCTCTTAAAATATTTTGTATCCCCAAAAATCATCATTGTCTCATACTTACAATGTTATTGTTTATTGATAAGTAAGCATAAAATATTTAAATTATTACAGGTGAATAGTATACAAATCATTTTTATATTCTATACAACGTTAATGTATTTTTCTACACTTAAGATTAGGATTGACACATTGCGTTTAATTATTAAAATTTGAGAAAATAAGAGTTGACAAGTATAATTTATAGATTTCTTCTCGGTAAAGAGTGATCTTAAAAGTGACTAATAATTGATTTATGACTAAAACGTATGTAATATAATATGATTAAATATGCGTTTGTTAAATATTTCTCTAACAAGTAAGTTATTTATTGAAATTTTTTTGGTTGATTCATGTTATTCTATGAATTTGAATATAATGTATAAATAGAAATATTAATTATCTTAAACAAAAAGGTTAAATAAAAGACTATTATTGTAGACACAAACAGTAGTCTACTGTTATCTCATATTATGATAGTGACGATTATATTACGACAATATAAATACCTCTGAGACTATAGCTTGTAAGACTTATTATTAATTCACTATTTCATAACTGAACAAATAGTATTGAAGCAAAACTATTTCTTTTAGCTTTTTTATAGGGTTTCATGAAGTAGTAATTAGGTATCTTATATATTTTGAGGTGTATTTTAAAACACATTGTCTGAAACGCAAAAACCTTATAGAAATAGCATAAAATGGGCCGTGACTTGGTACAGAGACAGTCAAATAAAATAAAAATAAATTTATCAAAAAAACATAAGAGTAAGATGTTTTATGTTGAATTGAGACGGTGACGGAGGTANATAAAAATAAATTTATCAAAAAAACATAAGAGTAAGATGCTTTATGTTGAATTGAGACGGTGACTGGATGTAGTGTTAAATAGAAACCCTTGGGTGTTAGCCGCAAGTGGGATGTATCATTTATCAATTTCGGAAGAAAACAAATAAAACAGAATAAGACACGATCGTAACTATCCAGAAGAGACAAACTAAAAAATAATAATGTGCTGATACACGTTTAAGCTTCCACTCACTGTTTAAGCCTCAAGATCAGAAAACACGCCGGCGTTTTTTGGAGTGAATAATAGATAAATATGTAATTTACAACAGTATTAACATCATTCATTAGGATAATGTAATTTTTATTGTTTCGTTTTTGCGTGAGAATATAGTGTTTAACAAATATATGTAAAGTTCATCTTCAAAATTCCATAGGTTTTTAAAACGTATCTTTTTCATATATTTTGAATACTAAAAATATTCGTTGAAGTACTAAATTGATGATATTGCTCTTACTATATGTATATTTCTGTACTAATATAAAATTTCTATGGTAATAATATTTCCATCGTATTACCACTATGTGTAATAGTTATTGAATTTAGATGATTGATAT